AGTGGGAGGATTGCAGCTTAAGCCAGCACTGTCAGAAAGCAAAACTCTACTTCAACAATAACCAATGCAAAAAAAAGGGCTAGAGGCATGGCTCAAGTGGCTGAGTGCCTGCCTAGGAAGTAGGAGTCTCTAAATTTAATCCTCCCTCCCCCACAAAAAAAAATGTACTTTTTTTGTTTCAATAAGACTTAGTGAGCTCTGTTTTGCATTTCTTTTAAATATCTTTGCTTTTGCTTTATGGAATTGAGTTTTATTTAACTCTTGAAATTTACTCTTTTCAAATGTTTTCTTTTTGCAGGAGCTGCTGCTCAAGAGGTTATCAAAATAATCACCAAGCAGTTTGTAATTTTTAATAATACTTATATTTATAGTGGCATGTCCCAAACTTCAGCAACTTTCCAGTTATAGAATAAGCACCCTGTGCAGTGTGGTAATGATTGAAACTTTAATTGCTTCCAGATCACGCTCTACACTGTACAGTTCTGCTGAAGGAGAGCTGTTAAATTGTTTCCTCAATAAACGTTTTTCTCATTTGTAATGTGGTCTTACTCTTTGGAACAGAGAGAGAAAGGAATCATCTTCCTAAGAATAAAGCTACTCATGAAATTCAGTTCATTCATGATGCTTTGCTACTTCACTTATCATAAAATGCATGTTTCATTAGAAATAGTTTTAGTTTTTTTAAGTAGTGAATATAAACCACATATGGACTCTAGCTGTAGACAATTTAAGACTAGTATTATTTGTTAAAACAGATTTAAAAAGAGACATTTCAGGATGTAGGTTTTTTTTTTTTTGTTTTTGGCTAGTCCTGGGACTTGAACTCAGGGCCTGAGCACTGTCCCTGGGCTGCTTTTGTTCAAAACTAGCACTCTACCACTTGAGCCACAGAGCCACTTCTGGCTTTTTTTTTGGGAGGGGGGGTCATTTGTGGGGCTTGAACTCTGGCTTGGGCGCTATTCCTGAGCTCTTCAGCTCAAGGAGAGTGCTCTACCACAGCACCACTTCCGGTTTTTGAGTGGTTTATTGGAGATAAGAATCTCATCGACTTTCCTGCCCAGGCTGGCTTTGAACCCAGGTCCTCAGATCTCAGCCTCCTGAGTAGCTAGGATTATAGGCATGAGCCACTGGAACCCGGCTACTTCTTGCTTTTTCTATTTGTTTGGTACTGAAGAATTGAACCCAGGGCTTCATGCATGCTAGGCAAGTACCCTACCACTAAGCCACATCCCCTGCCCAGGATGTAGTTAGTTTTATTAGAAAACAAAGCTATCACCTTGTATATAGTGTCATTGTAATCAAAGTAATAGTACAGGTTTTGATGCCTATACTTTTATGTTATTAAAAGTTTTATAGGGTCATCTTGTCCATATTACTTTTTTTTATGGTCCTGACTTTGAACAGTCATTTGTTAAGCAGACACTCCACTACTGGACCCATGCTTTCAGCGCTATTTGCTTTTAGGTTCTTTTTAGGTAGGGTATTGCTATTTGTTCTGGCTGGCCTCGGACTATAATTATACTACCTATTCCATGTTGCTGGGGCCACAACTCTGTGCCACCATGCTCAGTTTGATTGATTGATATGTTAACTTTTTGATTGATGTTGATTGGTATGCTAACTTTTTGCACAAGGTAGTGTCAAACTGTGATCTTCCCTATCTCTGCCAAGTAGCTGAAATGACAGTCAAGAGTTCCTGTTTACATATAATCCTTTCTCTTTTTTTCTTTTTTTTCTTTCTTCCTTTTTTTTTTTTTTTCTGTTGTTGTTGGTTGTGGCGCTTGAACTCAGGGCCTGGACACTATCCCTGAGCTCTTCTGCTTAAGGCTAGTGCCCTACCACTTTGAGCCTCAGCACTATTTCTGGTTGATAAGAATTACCTGAATTTTCCTGCCAGGACTTTGAATGGTGATCCTCAGATCTCAACCTCCTGAGTAGCTAGGATTACAGATGTGAGCCACCACTGCCCAGCTCTACATCTCTTTTTTGTTGGTGGTGGTGGGGCTTGAACTCTGGGCCTAGGCACTGTCCCTTAACAATTCAGCTCAAGACTAGCACTCTACCACTTGAGCCACAGCACCACTTCAGGTTTTTTGGTGGTTTATTGGAGAGAAGAGTTTCATGGGCTTTCCTGCCCGGGCTGGCTTTGAACCATGATCCTCAGATCTCAGCCTCCTGAGTAGCAAGGATCACAGGTGTTAGTCACGAGCACCTGGCTAAATTTCATATCTTACTGGTAAGAGTGCTTGCCTAGCATGCATGAAGCCCTGGGTTTGATTCCTCAGTACCACATAAACAGAAAAGGTCTGAAGTGGCACTGTGGTTCAAGTGATAGAGTGCTAGCCTTGAGCAAAAGAAGCTCAGGGACAGTGCCCAGGCCCTGAGTTCAAGCCCCAGGACTGGCACCAAATATAAAGTTATTTTGAACCTTGTGTAATAGGAGATGCTTGTTATCCTAGCACTTAGGATTCTGAGGCAGGAGGGTTTTGAATTCCAGGCCAGCCTGAAATACATGATAGACCCTGTCACAGAAAACCAAAATAATAGTGTTAATAATCACTTTTAACTAACAGTGACTACTAGCATGTTAGTGTGAGAATCTTGACTTGGAATCCAGAAGCCTAGTTTCTGACTTTTTATATGGCTGAGGAGGTGTTAAAATGACTCTTAGTACTTCAAGGTCCCTAAACTGACTAGAGTCACTTTCTTGAGGCTAGAACCACCTGAATGACTTTGCCAACGTTGGTGCTTCACAGGGATCTGGTTTCCTAAAACCCCAATGGTCAAGGCCTTGGTTAGCTGTTCATATCAACTGACCTTTCCCACTGCAGGCACTACCTCTCAACCCTGTGGTGGAGTGGATTTTGTTAGAAAGGAAGTAGGACAGGACCCTATAGGTAAGATGTGGCATTGACCTCATTTGAGACCCTGAAGTACTACCAGACCTGTGGTCTAGAGAGGGAAGTGTGCCTAGGTTGAGCTGAGGTCACTCGGCAGGGCAAAACGGGATGCTCAAGGCAAAGAAAGAATTCCTGGATACTAGGAAGTGGAAAGAGGAGGCCTGCCTGATGGGCTTGCCGGGGCTGCACATGCGCAGTCATCACAGCCACGGGGCTCGCTAACTCTGGAGCCAAGAAGCCCTAAACACCAAGTCAGTAAGAGGAGGGTATATCCCCTTCCAGTTGGGGCTTTCTTCCAACCAAACTCCTCCCACCTGCACGCCTGGTTACTCGTCCTCAACCCCCCAAGCGCCATCACAAATGGATACTGACTGATCACCAGAGGGAAGGGCGTTTGGACCGGAAGTCCCGCCCGCGGAAGTGAGTCTGCTTGCAGAGCTGGGAAGCCCAGTCAGGCTTCGAGGGAGAGCAGGCTGGTAGCAACTGGTCCTCCTCAGCTCAAGGGTAAAGGCCATGCCCGCAGCCTCGCCTCAGCCCACCTGGGAGCTCGGCTGGCTGCTTCCCTTGGCCTGTGTATCCTCTTAGCGGCTAGGGTGCCTCAAGGCTGCAGAACCTACCGAACTCTACCAACCGAGGAGGGGATGGTTGAGCTGCGGGGACTGGGCCTACCTAGCGGTCACCAGGCCCAGCCGCGGCCGCCATAACTTCTGGAGCGGGGAAAGGGGGATGGGGGGAGGGGGGAGGGAGGAAGCTTTGGCACTTCGTAATGGTCTGAAGTCTGCATGCCCAGCTGCTTCCCACATGATTGTGTGTGTGTGTGTGAGAGAGAGAGAGAGAGAGTTAGAGACTGGGGGCGAGGAGGTACGGGCAAGATCCAGAGATGGTTTGTTTCTCAGAAGGAGGGCAGGACCACGTGTTCAAGGTCGAGCCCAAGGTCTGGTGAAGTGGGCTGATAGTTTGCCGAGGAGTCACCCTGACTCACACCTCTAACCAGCTCCCACTTGAGAACTGCGGCCCCAGCAGAGTCTGCAGGACCATCCATGTTTGGCCAAAGGAGTCCTTTCAGCTCTTTGGGTGAGCCTGGCTTTGGTGGTGGTGTGGAAACTGAGGCAGCAGGGCAGAATTTGCCTGCCTTTCTTGCAGGTATTAGGGATGTCTGTCACTGAACCGATTCCCAGTACCCTGGGCACATTGTCTATAATTTTGTTTAGTATTTATATTTTTATGTTTAGTACTTTTCTCCTTGCCTCTCTTTTTAGAGAACATTTTTCTGCCATGTATGATTCTGAGCTGGAGTCCCCTGTCAGCTAATTAACAGTGGCAGTTCCACCAGTGCCCAGGAATAGACTTTTTTTTTTTAAATTATCATTGAACTTTAGCTTATGGAGAGAAATTGGGCTATAGAGAACTTAAGCCTATGTCTGGTTTTAAACCTCAAACACTTGGAGAAGTGTCTAATTTGAGACTGAAATGAAGATTCTCAGGAGAGAAAATACCACAGATCTGAGAAGGGTCAATTAGATTCAACCAGTTACTTGTTTGATAAAATTGGTTGAACCTGAGTGAGTGGTGCATACCTGTAATCCTAGCAACTCAAGAAGCTGAGATCTGAGAATCACAGTTTGAAGCCATCCCTGGCAGGAAAGCCCTGGAAACTATTAACTACTAGAAAAGATGGAAGTGGAGCTGTGGCTCAAGTGGTAGAGTGCCAGCCTTGAGCAGTGAAGACCAGGGACAGTGCCCAAGCGCTGAGTTCAAGCTCCAAGACTGGCACAGAAATGAATAAATAAATAAGTTAGATGTCTATAGTTCCTTAGAAATCTAGGTGTATGTGCTTTCCTATTTAATTCTTGGAACAACATGAAGTGGGAACATCAGTAATATTTCACATTTGAGGAAATGCAGCCTCAGAGAATTGAAGCAACCTATCTAGTGTCACACTAATAAGTTGCAGATTTAATCCCTGGTCTTCTGCCTTCTGGAAAGCTATTTTTTTTTCCTCCTTTGCCTTTGCATTTTGACATTATTAAAAATTAATTTGAATTGTGAAAGCAATTTTCACAATTCTTTATTTTATAGATGAAATATAAAGAAAAATACCAACAAAAATGGAAAATGAGGACACAAAGAAAATGCAAGGTGAGAAATTCATGGATCATATATACAAAATGAGTTTATGATATATTTGAGAAATATATTTAAATTTTTTAATTTAAAATATTTAAAATCCAAGGGATGAATGAATCATTTAGTAGTTTATGTGAATATTGAACACCTGTTCTGTACCTGTCACCTGGCTTTAGAAAACTGACATGAGAAAAGACATGCTGATAGTAAGAATACCATAAGATACTGGATACAAAAGATGGATGCCAATGGCTCATGCCTGTAATCCTAGTTACTGAGGAGGTTGAGATCTGAGGATTGCAATTCAAAGCCAGCCCAGGCAGGAAAGTCCATGAGATTCTTATCTCCAGTAAACCCCCAGAACACTGGAAGTGGCACTGTGACTCAAGTGGTAGAGTGCTATCCTTGAGCTGAAGAGCTCAAGGACAGCACCCAGGCTCAAAGTTCAAGACCCACAACTGACCAAAAAGAAAAAAAAAAAAGACTATGTTTAGTGGTTTGTGTTGTAATCTCATTATTTGGGGAAGAGTTGAACAGGTCATGGTCTGAGTTCAGCCTGAACAAAAATTAATGAGACTCCATCTCAATACAAGCCCTATGATCCTAGTGATCCTAGTGACACAGGAGGTCATAGGTAGGAGAATCATAGTCTTCCAGCCTCTGGGCCAAAACAGCTCCCTTACAAAAAAAAGTGAGATCTTGTCTAAAAAATGGCTAAAACAATAAAGGGCTGGAGCATGGAAAGTGGTAGAGTGCCTGCCTAGCAAATGTGGCAGCCCAGTGCTGCGAAGAAGGAAAATAAATATTATTGTATGCGTTTTGCTAAAATTGTTTAGACATTTTGTGTGTATGTTCACAAGGGATATTGGTTTGTAGTTTTATTCCTACTGGTTTTGTTGTAGAATGAATTAGGAAGCTGGGAGGTGTGTACAATGATGTACATCTATAATTCCAGGTGCTCCAGTTTGGGACCCACTAGAATCTTGAGCTTGAGGCCAGCTAGGCTACAGCAAGATCCTGTCTCAAAAACAAAACAAAATAAAACAAAACAAAACAACAACAACAAAAAAACAACAACAACCACCACCAAAAAAAACACACCAACAATTGAGCTAGGTGCGGGTAGCTCATGCCTGTATTCCTAGCTACTTAGGAGGCTATGATCTGAGGACTGCAGTTTGAAGACAACTGGAGCAGAAAAGTGCATGAGACTCTTATCTCCTATCAACCACCAAATTGCTGAAAGAGAAGCTGTTGCTCAAGTGATACAGCACTGGCCTTGAGCACAAAAGCTCAGGGAGAGTGCCCAGGCCTGATTTCAAGCCTCACTACCAGCATATGTGGGCACATACATACATGCAGACACACACATACACACACACACACAAAAATGTCTCTTGGATTTTTCTGCATGGGCTGGCTTTAAACTGGTATCTTCAGATCTCAGTCTTCTGAGTAACTAGGATTACCAGTATAAGCCACTGGTGCCTAGCTTTAATGGAAAGGAAAGGTTTTAAACTATGACTTAAGCTTCTTTCCTAGCTATATTACCAGTCAGTTATCATTTCTTTTGGAGGGAACTTGGTGATGTGTATCTTTCCAACAATTTCTTTATGTCACGTAAATCATTGATCTATAGGTATGACATGCATAAACACTACCTTTAACGTATCCGTAGGATCTGTGGTGATTCCTTCTCTCTAATTTCTAATACTGATAGTTTGCATATTCTTTTTTATATAATCAGTTTGGTTACAGAACTATCAAATATCTTTTCAAATAAGTTGATCCATTGTTTTTCTTTCTTTTCTTTTTTTGATTGGTTGTGAGGCTTGACTTCATGACCTAGGTACTGTCCTTGTCGTGGGGCTTGAACTCTGGGCTTGGGAGCTGTCCCTCAGCTCTTCAGCTCAAGGCTAGCGCTCTACCACTTGAGCTACAACGCCACTTCCGGTTTTCTGGTGGTTTATTGGAGATAAGAGTTTCCTGGGCTTTCCTGCCCGGGCTGGCTTTGAACTGCGGTCCTCAGATCTCAGCCTCCTGAGTAGCTAGGATTACAGGCATGAGCCATGGGCACCCAGTTCCCTGAGCTTTTTTGCTCAAGGCTGGCACTCTACCACTTTGAGTCACAGTGACACTAAGTTTTTTTGTGGTTAATTGGAGGTAAGAATCTCATGGACTTTCCTACCTGGGCTGGCATTGAACTACTATCGTCAGATCTCAGCCTCTTGAGTGGCTAGGATTACAAGTGTGAGCCACTAGCACCTTGCTGTCCACTGTTTTTCTATTTTACTGATTTCAGCTTTCCTTACAATTTCTTTATAACTTTCCTTCTTTCCTTACTTTGGGCTTAATTTGCTTTTTTTTATTTTTTCTAGTTTCTTAAGGAAGAAGCTGAAGTTACTGATTTTAGACCCTTCTTTTCTCACACAAGTATTATGAAATTGTCCCTAATTACTGTTGTAGTAGCACCTCACACCTTCATTTTTATTTCCTTTAAATGGTATGTACTTAAGCCATTGTATGTTCACTTAAGAAGAATATTTGTAACTTGGGTGCCAGTGGCTCATACCTGTAATCCTAGCTGCTCAAGAAGGTTGAGGTCCAAGAATGGAGGTTCAAAGCCAGCCCAGACTGGAATATCTGTGAGACTCTCTAGTTAACTATCAAAAAGCCAGAAATGGTGCCATAGCTCAAATGGTAGAGCACCAACCTTGAGTGGAAAAACTAAGAGGCAGTGCTCAGGTCCTGAGTTCAAACACAGTACCAACACATATACAAAATGAATATTTGTATTTTCTTCTTTTCATGGAAAAGAAAAAAACAAAGTACTATAAGAAATTTAAGTTTTATTTAAAGAACATCTTTTTTTAAGATATATCTTTGTTGTTCATCAGATCATGAAAGTAATATGTTTTACTATTTTAAAAATCAATCATTATACCAGGTGCCGGTGACTCACACTTGTAATCCTAGCTTCTCAGGACTATAGTTAAGGAATGTGTTTCAAAGCCAGCCCAGGCAGGAAAGCCTATGAGACTTTTTATCTCCACCAAAAAGCCAGAAGTGGAGCTGTTGCTGAAGTGATGAGTGCTAGCTTTGAGTGAAACAGCTCAAGGACAGGCCCAGACCCTGAGTTCTAGCCCCAGTGCACCAAATTTTTTTAAGTCTATTTGAGAACAATAATAAGATATTAATAACAATTCCAAAGATATGTAACTAGAAATTAACATTGGAAAAAGAAATAAACATTTATTATTGAAAAAATCTTGTTTATTGTATGTTTTTTCTCCAGAAATGAAAACTGACCTGGATTTATTATTGGAGTGTCTGAAATATCAAATGGACAATTCTATTTCACAGAAGGAAGCTTTAGTTACTATTCATTCAATTTGTCAGCAAAACAGTAAGACATGATAATGAACTTTTATTTATAATTCTAGTTCTTTAGTACTGTGATATATCAAATATGCATTGTTCTTCTCACTTTATGTGCTATATTAATTCTCTATTTGAGTTTTTAAATCCATAACAAAATAATAATCAAATATGCCTTGTTTTGTCTATACATCCTACAGGTGATGCAGGTGTTTATTTTCGGGAAATTGGTGGTCTGATATTTGTAAAAAACCTTGCAAAGTCAAGTGAACATAGTATGGTTAAAGAAGCAGCATTATTTACATTAGGTGCTCTTGCAGAAGAAAATGGTAAAATAATAAGTCTTATTTATTCTTCAGTATTGTGTTATTCTGTACTTGAAAATAGTTTTAGAATGTCATAGTAAAGATGCAGGAGGATCAAAGTTTGAGATCAGCCTGAGCAAAATGTTTATGACTCCTCTCAACGGAAAAACCTGTATATAGCAGTGTGTACCTATTATCCCAGGTACAGCAGGTATCAACAATAGGAGGATCATGGTCTGGGCTGGCCTGGGCAAATAAAGTACCCTAGTTCAAAAAATTGTCAGGGCAAAAAGGGCTGGGGGCCTGACTATAATGGTAGAATATCACCTGACAGTCTTGAGTTCAAATCCCAGTACACCCAAAACAATAGTAATAACTAGTATTAATAGTTAATAAGTTAATATAACTACTGTTGTTTTAGAATTAAATTATTTCCATGTTTGAATAGTTTTATGTGGGTACTTAAATCAAAAGATGAAGATAATCCACAAACAACCACGTTAAATGCTTTGGGCACAGAAATTCATGTTGACAAGAATATTTTCCTGCCATCTATATCTATATCTATATCTATCTATATATATGCACACCTTAAATAATAAGATTGAATATCAACCATTTAATTTGTCAAACCAGCCTTATATTTTTATATTTTCATTAATAATTTTTTTTTGCCAGTCCTGGGGCTTGAACTCAGGCCCTGCGTACTGTCCCTGAGCTGCTTTTGCTCAGGGACTCTACCACTTGAGCCATAGCACCACTTCCAGCATTTTCTGTTTTTATGTGGTACTGAGGAATTGTACATCGGGATTCATGCATGCTAGGCAAGCACTCTACTACTAAGCCACATTCCCAACCTCATTAATAATTTCTTATCAGCTATTAAGAACCAGCCCCAAGTTCTGTGCTAGACATTGAGGATATAAGGATGGATTTTTTTTAGTCCTTACCTTTGAGATAGTTTTCTAGCTGGTTCTAGGCACTTGGCAAAATGCTGATTGTATTACTATGTCCAATTTTATTTTACGATGCTAAGGATTGAACCCAGGGCCTTAGGAATGCTAAGCACTTGTTCTTATCACTGAGCTACACCCCAAGATTCCAAATAGTTTTTTTTAATTCTGCTTATTTTATGAGCATCTAAAAAGAAATCAGGGAGCTGAGAGCTGGTGGCTTCCAATTGTAATCCTAGATCTGTGGATGTGGCTTGAAGCTAATCCCAGTGGGAAAGTCTGTGAGACAGTTATTCTAATTAACCACCAAAAAAATGCCAGAAGTACAGCTGTGGTTCAAGTGGTAGAGCGCTAGCCCTGAGCAAAAAGTTCAGGCCAAGTCCTGAATCCAAACCCAGGACCAACATACACCAAAGAGGTGAAGGAGGGGAGAAAGGGAGAGAGGACTCACACCTATAATCCTAGCTGCTTGGGGGCAGAGATCAGGAAGTGTTATGCTTCAAAGACAGCCTGGGCAAAAAGTCTCAATCAGTAGATGAGTGCAGTGTTTGTGTTCCTGTTATCCAGGCTGGGATGGTTGTCAAGGTTGAGATTGGAAGGATTGTTGGATACTGTCCTTGAGTTTTTGTTCTCAAGGCTAATGCACTACCACTTGAGCCATAGCTCCATTTCCAGCTTTTTTGGTAGTTGATTGGAATCTCATGGAGTTTCCTTCCCCAAGCTAACTTTAAAACATAATCCTCAGATCTTAGCCTCTGATTACTAGGATTACAGGCATGAGCCACCAGTGCCCAGGCTCATTGTTGAATTTTGAAAAGACTTTAGTCCCTAGAAAAGTCTCAGAAGAAATATTATACATTTTGTCCATTTGTTTTTCAAAGCATATTTCTGAATTTTCTTAAATTGTTTTTCTTATTTTGTTTTATTCTTAAATTTCCTTGTCTAAGTTTTTATTTACTTAGGTTTTTATTATAAATTCTAGTGTAACACTTTTGATTAGAGACTGTGGCTCTGTCTACTGCTGCATTGGTCTGCTACTTAAGCACATATCAACTTATCAGAAATTTTGTCAGAATTTCTAATAAGTGTCAAATGAGAACTGTTTAATAATATTGTAATAATAATGTTGTAATATATTGTAATAATATTGAGTAATATTGCAATAATAATTTATATTTTGTTCACATATTTTATAATTGTTATATACTATTGAATTGAAATTAAATTTTATATTTCAGTTTACAGCCAGCAAACTTTGTGTACTTCAGATTTATTTGAAGACTTAATTTTGTTCTTATCTAATGATGATTCAAACACAAATTTAAAAAGAATGTCTGTCTATGTTATTTTGGTCCTGGTTTCAAATAATAGTAAGTAAATTCTCTCATGAATGTTTAAAACATTTAAAATAATAAATTGAGTAGTTATTTATCATTCTAGTCCTTATATTAGTATCTTTTTTTTCTTTTTGCTGGTCTTGGGGCTTAAATTCAGAGCCTGGGTGCTATCCTGAGCTTCTAGCCACTGGCTCAAGGCCAGTGCTTTACCACTTGAGGCACAGTACTACTACTGTCTTTTTCTGAGTAGTTTATTAGTGATGAGTTTCACAGACTTTCCTGCCTGGGCTTGTTTTGAATCGCAATCTTCATATCTCAGCCTCCTGAGTAGCTAGGATTGCAGGCATGAGCTGCCGGCACCTGGCTAGTATCATTTTTTAACCTGATTGATTTTTAATAAATACTAACTTTAAGGAAAGTATATGTTAATCATTTTATATATTAATACATAATTTTAAAAAGAGTAAAGTAAGTTGTACTACTAAAGGAGCATTGGAATGAATTCATTTGGTTGACTTTTTACTGAATTGCCTACTTAAAGAGTTTACTGTGTATTAGGCAGTACTGGTTTTTATTTGGGGATAAGTTTTACATTCACAGAAAAGTTGGAAATAGGGCTGGGAATGTGGCTTAGTGGTAGAGTGCTTCCCTAGCATGCATGAAGGTTCTGTTCTTTAGTACCACATAAACAGAAAAGGCTGGAAGTGGTGCTGTGGCTTAATTGGTAGAGTGCTAGCCTTGAGCATAAGCAGCTCAGGGACACTGCCCATGACCAGAGTTCTAAGTTCAAGCCCCAGGACTGTCAAAAAAAGAAAAAGATTTAAAAAAAAAAGGTAGAAATATAGTATAGAATAGTCACATGTATCTACTGCTGAGGTCAAGATTATTTTTGAATTTAATTCTAATTGTTAGGTACTTAAAATACTTCTAGATTTACTTCTTCCTCTTTTGGAAAAATTAAAAAGGTTGAAGGCTAGGAAGGTAGCTCAGTGGTAGAGTACTTGCCTTGCATGCATGAGGCCCTGGCTTCGATTTCTCAGCACCACATAAGCAGAAAAAGCTGGAAGTAGAGCTGTCTCAAGTGGTAGAGCCCTAGCCTTGAGCTGAAGAGCTAAGGGACAGCACCCAGGCCCAGAGTTGAGGCCCTATGACCAACAAAAATAAAAATAAATAAAAAGGTTGAATTAATTTATTGTACTACAATATGAAACACTTTTTCATATTACACCAGAGAACCATGATTTAAATGTAAGTTTTAGCCAGGTCCCAGTGGCTCACTCCTGTAAGCCTAGCTACGTAGGAGGCTAAGATCTGAGAATCAAGGTCCAAAGCCAGCCAGGCAGACATAGCCAAGAGAATCTTACTTCCAATTAACCAGCAAAAGATAGAAGTGGAGTTGTGGCTCAAGTGGTAGAGTGCCAGTTTTGAACAGAAAAAAACTAAGTGCAAGCTCAAAGCCCTAGAGAGTTCAAGCGTAGCACACACACGAAAAACAAAACCTCCCCTAAGATAAACCAAAAGTGTTTTGTAATTTTTAGATGAAATTTGAATATTGTCAATCTTTTAAGCAAACGAAGTTATTTTTCCATAATAATCTTGATTATAGATTTTTATTTACTATAATTTTGTGTTGTAGCCTTTACTACATTAAAGCAGCTTAAAAGCTAGATAGTTATTGAAATAGAACATAAATGTTTTACATTTCTTTAAAATCATTTCTAATAGAAATTATATTCATGTAACATAGGCTTTTTTTTTAAGGATGTGGACAAACACTTGTGAGAGAAACAGGTTGTATTACTGTTCTGTCAGAATTGTTCAGGTAAGCAAATATAAATTTCTTGTTGTTAATTGGGCATTGCTTATGACCTTAATATATTTATCTTAATTTGCTTCCTTTTTAACCTAATAGGACAATTCTTTCAAAACATGAGTTGAATTTGTTAGATAATAAGGTTTTCCAGAATTATCAGTTGTGGTCTTCAGTGTGTAGTGCTCTATGTGCCTGTGTCAACAATCCTCAAAATGGTAATTATTTAATTATTTAAATATAAAGATATGGGGTGGAGGGAAAGTGGGAGAAAACAAGGGCGGGGGTAACAATGTTCAACAAGAAATGTACTCATTACCTTACTTATGTAACTGTAACCCTTCTGACATCACCCTTACAATAAAATAAAATTTAATTAAAAAATAAATATAAAGATAAATGACAATTGTTATTTTCTAATATTAAATTAAAACATGATTGACTGCTCATTTCAGATGAGAATCAAACATTTTGCTGTTCACTTTTTCCATATGCTAATGATTGGCTAATATCTTGCATGAAACCTGAGATAATTCGCCCCCTCTGCTCATTTATTGGACTTACGCTAGCAAATAATAGTAAGTATGTAGTGTGTTCTCTAAGCCATGTGAAGAAACATTTCAAAGCATAACAAAAATGGTTGGATTATTTCATTGACTAATAAGTTTTATTCTAGTAATTTGGGTCATTTTGGGTACCTTTAGGTTCTTGACAATAAGAAAAATTTAGAAGTCAATATTGTTTAGAGAATATTGGGAAGATAGTAGTAGCAGAATGTTTTGTTTTGAGACAAGACCTCTGTATATACCAAACTAGTCTCAAAGTTTCTATGTAGCCCAAGTTGGCCTCAAACTGTATTCTCAGGCTGGGAAAGTGGCTCAGTGGTAGAGTGCTTGCCTTGCATACATAAGGCCCTGGCTTCGATTCCTCAGCACCACATAAGCAGAAAAAGCTGGAAGTGGTGCTATGGCTCAAGTGGTAGAGCGCTAGCCTTGAGCTGAAGAGCTGAGATCCCATGACCAACAACCCCCTCCCCAAAAAAACCCTCATTATTCTCATGCTTACAAAGTGCTGAGGTTATAGGGGTACACCACTATGTCCAATCTGCAGCATCTTTTGTATTTTTTTCTTCAGTTGTAGGGCTTGAACTCCAGACCTGGGCACTGTCTCTGAGCTCTTTTTGCTCATGACTAGTGCTTTAGCACTTTGAGACACAGACCCACTTCTGGTTTTCTGGTGGTTAATTGGAGATAAGAGTCTCATAGACAGTCCTGCCTGGGCTGGCTTTGAACTAGTATTCTCAGATCTCAACCTCCTGAGTAGCTGGAAATACAGGTGTAAGCCACTAGTCTGGCTTCATTTTTAATCTTCCTAGATTCACTCATAAAACAAAGTAATGAGATAACAAAACTAGAAACCCATAAAAAAAATACACTTGGGAAACAACTGAATTAAATTACAAATTAACAAATACAAAAAAATGTAGAAAATCCAAATACCTTGTAATTAAAGGCTCAAATTACAAATATCACTATAACAAGATGACATTGCTATAGATATTGACATATACTAAAAGGATGTAGGCCATGTAATTTGACAACTTTGAATAAATTCCCTGAAATATACAAACTACTAAAGATCACACAAAAGAAATGGATAACTTGATTAGTAAATAGAATTCAAAATTTAAATTCTTAACATCAAGGGGAATTTCAGTCTCTGATGATTTTTTTGGTGAATTCTACCACATATTTCAGAAGAAAAATGAACCTGTGTAAATTAATCTTGGAAATAGAAGTAGAAGGAACACTTTACAACACGTTCTATAAAGTCAGCCTTATACCCATGTAAAAGTCTTTAACAAAATATTAACAAATCAAACAACAGAATAATAACTTCTGACCAAGTAGCATATATCCCAGGAATGCACGATTGGATTAACATTAGAAAAAAATTAGGGTTATTGATTTTTTATTTGTGTGTGTATTGGGGGAAGGGGGTGGTTCTGGGGCTTGAACTCAAGGTCTGGGCACTCTTCCCTGAGCTTTCGTGCTCAAGGCTGGTACTATACCATTTGAGCCACAGTTCCACTTCCAGCTCTTTAATTGAAGTTAAGGATCTCATGGGCTTTCCTATCCAGGCTGGCTTTGAACTGTGATACTTAGATCTCAGCTTCCTGAGTAGCTAGAATTATTGCCACTGATTCCCAGTTTAGGATCTTTAATTTTTTTACAATGGTGATGGCAATTCTGTGAAAGAAAAGTCTTTTTGGGCTGGGAAGGCGGCTCAGTGGTAAAGCGCTTGCATTGCATGCCAGAGGCCCTGGGTTCGATTCCTCAGCACCACATAAGCAAAAAGAAAAAAGCCAGAAGTGGCGCTGTGGCTCAAGTGGTAGAGCACTAGCTTTGAGCTGAAGAGCTGAGGGACAGTGCCCAGGCCGAGTTCAGGCCCCATGACCGAACCCAAAAAAAGAAAAAGAAAAGTCTTTTTAACCTGTGATGGTAAAAAATAATAAATACAAAATACAGTTCTTAACTCAAAATATACATAATATTTGTATATATCTCATGCAATGTGCAAAAATAATTTGAAATTTTTTAGACAAAAGCATAAAAAGAAAATGCTCAAAATTCTCCTACTTCTGCTTTTTAATTACAAGTATGCCCCATCCTCCCTCCTGAGACTATATTTGTTATAGCTCTACTGAAATAATCACTTAATATAAAACAGACTAGTAATATTACTTAGAAAATACATCAGTTATCAATAAATAAAAGAGATTTCCAAACACAAGAAGACTGTTTTGTACTATACGTGTAAGTTGTATTATGTAAAAAGGGAAGCGCTTAATTAATATACCCCTGTGATTGTGTATATTCACTGATAAAGATTGGAATTTTTGTTCTAGTACTCAGGACTTACTCACTAGGTAGGCATTCTACCACTGGAGCCAAGTATGCTATCATTTTTTGCTTTAGTGTTTTTAATTTGGGTCTTGGATTTTTGCCCAGGGAGGCCTGAGACTGTGATTTTCCTACCAATAATGCCTCCTGCATAGTTAAGATTACAGGTATGCATCACCATATTCAGCTTCTTCTGTTGTGTTGGGATTTCAGTTTTTTTGGAGAGGCAGGGGGAGAAGAGCCCACACTGGCCTTGAACCATGATCCTCCCAATTTTTGCTTCTTTTAGGGTATCCTAATTTTTTAAAACAATTCTTTAGTTTTGGGATTTTAGTAAATATTTCAGAAAAATAAGTTATTGTTATATTTGATAGAAATTAATTGAATGAAACCATATACCTGTCTTGAGATACTAACAGTTCTGCTTTATTCCTAAAGCATATGTTCAGAAATACTTTGTGTCTGTGGGTGGATTGGAGGTATTGTCTCAAGTTCTTGTGCACCTGGAATCTGACTCATACAAAACTGTTTCCAATGCTAAGCTTGCAGTGGTGGTGACAAAAACAATGGATGCATGTATTGCTGATAATCGTGAGTTAAATGCTTATACTTAGTAAGATTTCTACAATTGAATTTTGTTGAATTTAGCACGATGAGTTTTGATATTGTAGATTAAATTTGATATGATTTCCAGTTTGTACAAGTAGAAAAAGATCTTAGAAATGATCTATTCTGGTTCTTCACTTTCTTATGGACATTAAGGCTTCCCTAAGGACTCATATCTAGGTCTTCTAATATCAAGTCTAATACTAGAATGAAAATCAGACCTGGATGAATATGGTCAAGGTAGATGGCTTACGTGTTTAAAAATAGAACAATGAAACCTATTGAATTATTTTATGAAGAGACTAATGAAGAATAATAGAGGTAGTGGGATTGACTGGAATATATTGCGTATAAGTGGAAATGTCCAAATGAAATCCCCCCCACGCTGATGTATGCTAATGAAAATAAATAAAATGGACATATATATATTACAGGATTGTAAAAGAAATAAGAAAAACTAAGATCCTGTAATTCTAACTTTTTTTTTTGTTGGTTGTGGGGCTTGGGCACTGTCCCTGTGCTCTTCAGCTCAAGGTGAGCGCTCTATCGCTTGAGCCACAGCGCCACTTCTGGTTTTCGAGTGGTTTATTGGAGATAAGAGTCTCAAGCACTTTTCTGCCAGGGCTGGCTTTGAACCATGATCCTCAGATCTCAGCCTCCTGAGTAGCTAGGATTACAGGCGTGAGCCCCCGGTGCCTGGCTCTAAACTTTTAATTCACTTAAAAAGCAGCATTAACCTAAAAGTTTTATATGAGAAATCAAAGGACATTATTGAGATAGAATGTGGAATACCCAATTTACAAACTTTTTAAAAGTTGATGGGGCTGGGAAGGTGGCTCAGTGGTAGAGCGCTTGCCTTGCATGCCTAAGGTTCTGGGTTCAATTCCTCAGCACCACATAAGCAAAAAGAAAAAAGCCAGAAGTGGCGCTGTGAGCTGGAGAGCTGAGGGACAGCGCCCAGGCCCAGAGTTCAGGCCCCACGACTGGACCCAAAAAATAAATAAATAAAATGAAATAAAAGTTGAATAAAGAAAGTATGCTTTTTAAAAATAAGTGTGAAGTCTATCCCCAAATTCAAAACACATGATGGGCTCTCATTTGTACTGAAAAATGATAGCCCATAAATCCTTGTAAAAGGAATCTGTTATCATTCACAAATAACTGAAAATAGATTTTTACAAAGTAGTTATTGGCTTGAGCACTAATGGTACACATCTGTAATCCTAGCTACTCAGGAGGCTGAGATCTGAGGATTATTGTTTGAAGCCAGCTGGGCAAGAAAGTCTGTGAGACCCTTATCTCCAATTAACCACCAAAAAGCCAGAAGTAGAGCTGTGGCTCAAAATGGTAGACCATTAGCCTTGAGCAAAAACAGCTCAGGAACAGTGCCCAGATCCTGAATTGAAGCCTGGCACCAAAAAAAAAAGGCAGTTATTACTGGAGGCATGGCTCAATTAGTAAAGTACTTGCCTAGCAAGCATTAAGGTCTGGAGTCTAATCCCTAGTATTGAAGAAAACATTTTTTTTTTTCTGGTAGTGGTGCTTGAACTCGGGGCCTGAGTACTGTTCCTGAGTTTTTCTACCCACAGTTAGTGCTCTACCACTTTGAGCTATAGCTCTACTTCCAGTTTTCTGGTGATTAACTGGAGATAAGAATCTGACCAACTTTCCTTGCCTGGGCTGTCTTCAAACTGCACTCCTCAGATCTCAGCCTTCTTTGTAGCTAGGATTACAGGCCTGAGCCACCAGCACCTGGCTCTATGGAAGAAAAATTTTAAAAAGGCAATTTTTGAGTGCTTGCTATACGCTGAGCTCCAAGGATATAAAAATGATTAAGATCCAATTTCTTGAGAAATTTACAACATTATTGTTGACACCAATATTTTAGACTCTATATTAACTCTATTAAAAGCCCCATGAGATCTATAATGTAAACTAGTGGACTTCTTGAGTTTTGTTACATCTCAGCATAGTTTCACCTGTGCTTTATTGCATCATTAGTGTCAAATTATGGTCAGTTAAACAATAATATGAAGCTAGGCACTGGTGGCGCATGCCTATAATCCTAACTACTCAAGAGGCTGAGATCTGAGGATCACGATTCAAAGCCAGCCCAGGCAGGAAAGTCCGTGAGACTCTTATCTCCAATAAATCACTAGAAAACTGGAAGTGGTGCTGTGGCTCAAGCAGTAGAGCACTTTCCTTGAGCTGAAGAGCGCAGAGACAGCGCCCAAGCCCAGAGTTCAAGCTCCACGACAGACCAAAATAATAATAATAATAATAATAATATGAGGCAGGATTTGGTTATTTAAGAATGTCTTTACTGACCAATGTAGAGATATAGAAGGTGAGACTAGATATATTTAATTTTTAGGAAGGTAGCATTACAGAACTACTAAAAGGGGCTGGGAATGTGGCTCAGTAGTGGAGTGCTTGCCTTCCATGCATGAAGCCTTGGGTTCCATTCTTCAGTACTATATAAACAGAAAAAGCTGGAAGTGGCGCTGTGGCTCAAGTGGTGAGTGCTAGCCTTGAGCAAAAGCAGCTCAGGGACAGCGCCCAGGCCTTGAGTTCAAGCCCTAGGACCAGCAAAAAACAAAACAAGAAAACAGAACTACTAAAAGAAATCATACTTCAAAAAGTTGCTTTAGAAGGGGTAATGAGGGCAATTATAAGTTAATATCTTATTATGAATTTATATTAACACATATATGTTAGATGTTGCATGATACATGTATTAGACATTATATAGACATTTGCTGTTCTTCCTGAATAAGCTCCAAAAACATAGGTATATTTATAAGTTTTAAATTTATACTTACTATTCTTCTTATCTGTTTTGTACTAATAGCTACTTTTAGGGTAATAGTATCCAAATACCACATAGTTTCAAGACTTCTGGCATTACTGTCTCATGAAAGTCTTGATTTAGAAGAAAAATTTAGCATCATACTTACTCTTGGGCATTGCACTGAGGATTGTGGTAAGTACTGGATTTATTTAATATGTTTTTTTAAAGCATGGGAGTGGAAGCATTTTAATTTCTTCCCCTATCAGTCATATGAAAGACTTAAAATAGTAATTTTATCCTGGTCATCTAGGACTTAACTAATTATTTTAGCTCCTCATTCTCCTCTACAATTTGTATGCAAATTGTGGTTCTATTTCTCTTTCACCTTCTTGTACCTTCCTTTCCAGTGCTTCTGCTACTCTTCTAATTTAAGCCTCTGTCTCTCAAACTTTTCAACAAAATGAACCCAATAGCCACCTCCCTGTGCTCCTCTTTTCCTATCTTTACTTTTCAGTCCAGTTCTTTATGTTGCTTGCTGCAATCCAACCAAAGATTCTAACTACCTAATAGTCTTCCTGCCCCTCCCCTTCCCCATTCCCTCTCTCTCTTTCTTCCTTTCTCCCTTCCATTCTTCCTTTCTTTCCCCTCCTACTTTCTTTCACTCTTTCTTCAGTCTGCTCCTCCTTTCTAACCATCCCCTTTTCTCACTCTGTGTTCAATCTCCTTCTTTATCCCCCTTCTCACTTTTCCACTCTTCTCTCTTTACTGTCTTGCTTTTCTCTCTTCTCCCTCATTTCAGCTCCTTCTCTGTGTAATTTTGGATCTACCTTATATTTTTTAAAAACTAAGTAAGGTCAGTTTTTTTTTACTCTGTATGCATATGATACTCTGTGGTTGCAGTTCAGAAATGATCACTTATATGCCTTAGGTATATTGTATAAGTAGATTATTTCCTAAGTTGAAAATACTTTTGAAATTATATTTTCTTTTCCTTTAAAATGTTTGAACAATGCATAATTTTCACAAAGTAGAATTATGACCTAATATATATAGTTTATGATATAATAATTACCTTCTATTTTAATTTCTTACATATCTTCCAGAGGAAAATCAGTATGACCTTTTTAAAAACAATGGGCTTCCACTCATGATACAAGCCTTAACTGATTCTCAGAATGAGGAACTACACAAGGCTGCCACATTTGTGCTTCACAACTGCAGAAAAACTAGTAAGTTTACAAGTACCCTTAAGAGAAATACAAACCAATATTTGTAAAGGGGGGGATATTTTCTCTAATAAACCAAGCTGTTTTAATCTCCAGGGTTTGGGGGATGCTTTTTTTCCTTAATGATATTGGATTGAATTCAGTGCCTCACATTTGTTAAGCAAGTGCTCTACTGCTTGAGTCATAACTGCTAGACATTTTGCTTTCAGTTTGTTTGTCATTTAGGAATATTAGCTTTTGGTCAGGACACCTTTAGAAAGAACCTGAAAACTTCTGCCTTTGCTTCCCAAGTACTGAAATTACAGGCATACCCTATAAAATCCTGCTTGTTTTTGAGATAGGGTCTCCCTAACTTTTGCTCTCTATCTCTGCTACCACATTGTGTCTGGAGCACAGTGAACAGTAGCTATGATAAGAATTTTTGTCTTAGTGGAAGAAAACTTGTGGCCATCGTATATTGGAAAAAGGATTTAAAAGATTATAGAACGTGGGGCTGGGAAGGTGGCTCAGTGGTAGAGTGCTTCCCTTGCATGCATGAGGCCCTGGGTTCGATTTCTCAGTACCACATAAGCAAAAAGAAAAAAGCCGGAAGTGGCGCTGTGGCTCAAGTGGTAGAGTGCTAGCCTTGAGCTGAAGAGCTGAGGGACAGTGCCCAGGCCCAGAGTTCAGGCCCCATGACTGGACCCCCCCACACACACCAAAAAAAGATGATAGGACAGAACTATTTATGGACACTTGTTTTTTTGTCTTTTTTTTTTTGGTCAGTCGTGAGGCTTGAACGCTCTTCAGCTCAAGGCTAGCACTCTACCACTTGAGCTACAGCGCCACTTCCGGTTTTCTGGTGGTTTATTGGAGATAGGAGTCTCACAGTCTTTCTGGCCTGGGCTGGCTTTGAACCGCGATCCTCAGATCTCAGCCTCCTGAGTAGCTAGGATTACAGGTGTGAGCCACCAGCACCGGGCATGGACACTTTAAAAACAGCTACTTCTAGAAGTATGGCTAAAGTTGTAGTCCCTGAGTTTAAACTCCAGTATGATTTTTTTTAAAGCCTATCCTAGGAGACTGGAAATGTAGCTCAGTAGTAGAGCTCATTTCTTTGCATGTGGGGGACCCTGGTTTAATACCCAACACCAAGGGGAAAACCCTGTTTTAAGACAAGTGTTGATATATATGAGGGTGGTTGTGTGCAAAGAATAACATTGTCATATTGCTGTTTTGCCCATAACTCTGAAAAGTTGAGTCTAATTTATAACAATATTTGAGTCCTGGAACCTTGCTAAGCACTAAGCATACCAGTTAAGGTATGAATAGACAAAATTTAAAAAATGGGAAGGGTGGCACATGAGGATGTTCTTAAGGATATGACAATGATATCTCTCATAATAGATAAACTTACTATTTCCTCTACATTTCAAAGCTGAGAAGTTATCGCTAAATGTACGAGGATATTCTTTTGATGAAAATGAAGCAAAACAATTAAAGGACACAAATGCGAAAGAAAAGAATCTTGAAGAGTACTGGAAAACAGCAAAGGAAATTCTGCGCAAAATAGAACAGCTTGAAAGAGAAGAAAATGAGGTTAGCTTTTTTGTTTTAACAGAATATATGTTTTTAAGTCTTTTTAGTAGAGGTTGAAGAGTAAAAATATTTTTCCTACATTTTTAATGTAAAATTTAGTAGTAATACTTGACAGATCAGTGGTGGACATAGGAAAAAACAGGTATTTTTAAAAAGGTAGAATATCAGCCAGGCTGCAGTGGCTCACACCTGTAATCCTAGTTATTCAGGAGGATGAGATCTAAGGATCGTGGCTTGAAGTCAGCCTAGGCAGGAAAGTATATGTTATTCTTTATCTACAAATAAGTACCAAAAAGCCAGAAGTGCAGCTGTAGCTCAAGTGGTAGAGTACTAGCCTAGAGAAAAAAAAGCCAAGTGAGAATGTGAGGCCCTGAATTCAAGCCCCAATATACACACTCACTCACTCTCTCTCTCTCTCTCTCTCTCACACACACACACACACACACACACATGCGCGCGCGCACACACACACACACACACGCAGAATGTCTGAAGATAGAATAATGAAACAGCCAAACAGTTTGAAAAAGTGAGAGAAGTGGTATATAATAGCCGAAGTGAACTTGTTCAAAGTACTCCGTATGTATCTATGGAATTCTCACAATTAAACCACTTTGTATAGTCATATATGCTATTAAAATGGATTTTTTTTTTTGTTGTTGGTCATGAGGCCTGAACTCTGTCTAGGTGCTGTCCCTCAGCTCTTCAGCTCAAGGCTAGCACTCTACTACTTTGAGCCACATCTCTACTTCTGGCTTATTTCTGCTTATGTGGTGCTGAGGAATCAAACCCAGGGCCTCATGCATGCAAGGCAAGCGCTCTACCACTGAGCCACCTTCCCAGCCCCTAAAATGGATTTTTTAAGCAGAAATTAACTGGGCACCAGTCATCAAACCTGTAATCCTACCTGCTTAGGAGGTTGAGATCTGAAGATTGCAGTTGAAAGCCAGCCTGGGCAGAAATGTCTGTGAGATCTAACATCTTACTGTATAGTAGTTCAAGGAAAAAGCAATCTGATAATTTCTTCCCCTAGTCTCTCTCTCTCTCTCTGCACACATGTGCGTGCGCGCGCGCGCGCGTGCGCACACACACACACACACACACACACACAGCAGAGGCATATAGGTATGTTCATACTCTCTTGCTTATGTAGTCAATTTAATGATGAGAGATATATTCATGAGAAATCATCAGATAAACTGATCACTGTGCAAATATCACAGTATAATTATGTAAAACAGGTGGTATAGATTATCATTTGATGTGGTGGGTTTGGGTGTTTTGTTTATTTTGCTTGTTTTGTTTTTGCCTTTACATTACTTTTCTTGCATAAAGTTGCACAATTTTTGCCCAGGCACAGTCCTAAGACCATGCTTCTATCTATGCTTCCCACATAGCTAGAATTACAGACACATACTGCAATGTCTAGCTTGTATGTTGAAACAGGGTCTTACCAACTTTTTACCCAGGCTAGCTTGAACTGTGATCCTCTGGATCTTTGCCTCCCAGGTAGCTGGATTCACAAGTATGAGCCATAATGCCCAATTTATGTGGTCTTTTGATATAATCAAGATAACAAATTTAAGAGGTATAAAGACCTTACAAAACTGCTGGTGTATCACACTTGTAGCCCTGACTACCCAGGAGATTGATACCTGGGAATTGTGGTTCAAAGCTAGCCCCGCCAAAAAATCCTCAAGATTCTTACCTCCAATTGCCCAGCAAAATGCTGAACATGGAGGAATGACTCAAGTGGTAAAGCTCTAACCTTGAATGAAAAAGCCAAGCAAAGGGTGAACCAATACCAACACTAGGAAGGGAGGGAGGGAGGAAGGGAGGGACTTGCAAATCTGAAAGTGGTTGATGGTTTGACTAATTAGAAAATCACCTGCCCTCATTATGCTGAAGGTATTAGTCCATAGTATTGTAGATTCCAATGTTATTCTTGAGGTATAAACCCATTTTAATTCCCTGCTATTAACCTATTTTCTCTCCTTGGAAACTTACATAATCCCCACCCCCCTTTTTTTTGTCAGTCTTGAAGCTTGAACTCAGGGCCTGAGTGCTGTACCTGAGCTTTTTTGCTCAAGGTTAGCATTCTACCACTTTGAGCCACAACAACACTTAGTTTTCTGGCAGTTATTGGAGATAGGAGTTTCATGGACTTTCCTGCGCAGGCTGGCTTTGAACACTGATCCTCAGATCTTATCTTCCTGAGTAGCTAGAATTATAGGCGTGAGCCACTAGCACCTGGCTTAAGTTTATATAATCTTATGTTTTGAAATTTCACAGTGAGGTACCTGTCAAATATTTTTTACCCTTTGTGAGTTTAAACTCCTATAATAAAGTTTAAAAAAGGACTTTTATTCTATGGACTAGAAAAGCCCTGAGTTCAAACTCCAGTACTGGAAAAAAAATTACCCTGTGGCCCAATATATGGTATATATGTATTTCCTGGTGTTTTGATTTCTGTTGATTTTGCTTCTTGCTCTTTTTTTACTGAGTCCACCCTGCATTGTTCTTGGTCTAAAAGAAAACTTTCAAAAAAAATTTTATGTAGATCCTGAGGCTTGAACTCAGGGCCTGGGAGCAGTCCCTGAGCTTCCCCTTCCCACCCCCCCCTCAGGGCTAGCATTCTACCACTTGAGCCATGGCTTCATTTCTGGCTTTTTGGTGATTAATTGGAGATGAGAGTCTGGTAGACTCTCATTATAGGTGTGAGCTACCAGCACCTGGCTTAAAAAAGAAATGTACTCTTTACCTTACATATATAACTGTAACCCTCCTGTTCATCATCATTATAATAAAAATATAAAAAATAAAAAATTTATGTTTCAATATATTTTATTCTTTTATGATTTAGTGATTTTAGTGTAGTACCTGAAGAGGCTGAGAACATTAAAATATCATGGTTTCTTTTAAAACATAATTTCTTTTTCTTTCTTTCTTTTTTTTGTGTATGTGCTGGTTCTGGGGTTTGAACTCAAGCCCTAAGCACTGTTCCTGAGCTTTTTTGCTTAAGAGTAGCATTCTACCACTTGAGCCATAACTCCACATCTGGCTTTTTGGTGATTAACTGGAGATTAGAATTTTATGGACTTCACTACTCTAGCTGGCTTCAAACCACAGTCCTCCAATTTCAGCCTCCTAGGATTACAGGCATGAGACACCAACTTATAATTTCATTCTTAACAATCTAAATATCTGGTATATCTTGGCCTTATTTGTGTGTACACTGTGAAAAAGCTACATTATTTTTTCTATATGGTTTCCTTAATTGTCCTAGGACCATTTATTGAATAAATTTACGTTGTCTTCTTAATACAAACTATCCTTTTATCACTAATATTTTATTGACAGCTTTAATATTTTTCTTCATTGTTTAAAGGAAATATAAAGTGGGTTGTGAAGAAATGGATTATATTGGAATCATTTATTTGCCATTTTTACATTATAGGAAGAAATTCAAAGAAGAAGCTATGAGAATATGCCATTTATGAACAAGGAGAACATACTGAAACACCTCCATTCAGGTAGTACTGGAGATGCCAAAGCAGAAGAAGATAAGAATAAAAACCAGCCTGGACCGTTTCAGAGTTCTCCATCTGTTGATGTCACATCTAAGGCTTGTACCACTGATAACCGAGTGAAGACTCTGTTAAAGAGTACACATCCATTTAGTGGACAAAAGATGACTTTACGTAAAGTCAGTTCCAGCTGCAATCAAGGTTTACATGAGAAAACAACTTTTGACAAAAAGAATTTTGTTTATAAATCAAGGTATAGTTCAATAATTTTATCCAGTAAGCATTTATTGTGTGCTACAATATGCTATATTCTTAAGCAATAGGAATACAGAAATGATAAAGTGAGAGAAGGCTAACGTAGGAAATATTTCCAGAGAAATTAGGATAAGGAGGTAAGTCCCACTTCTTCTAAGGCCTTGCATGTCATGTCTAGAATTTGGGGTTTTAGCTCACAGGATATGGGGAGCATTGAAGATTTTGAATTGAGTTGCATAATCATAATTGAATTTTAGAAAGTATGCTCAAAAAAGAAAACAGAACCCTTCTACCTGAAGTAATAAAGTTAAGAATTGATAATCTGTTAGCAAATATGGCAAAACCCAATTTGTAATTTTTTTGTGGTACTAGAGTTTAAATTAATGCTTGCTAGGCTGGCATTTTCTACCACTTGATTCACTCCTTCAGCCCTATTTTTTTGCAGTTTACTTTTGAGATAGGGTCTCATGAACTTTTCTGCTTGGGCTTGTCTCAAACCACAATCCTACTCTCAGCCTCCTGAATAGCTAGGATTGTAGGTGTGAGCTTAACTATGCTTGTAAATTTAATGAAAAAGGGAATCGGCTGTGGTGGTTTGTTCTTTTGTTCCCTGCATTTCATCTCCTATACTGTTCTTTCTCAGGTCCAGCCTGTGTTGTAACTTTTTTTTTAACCCTTTCTTGTGTATGTTCTAATAGTTGCTGTGAAAAGGAAGCTGTATTCTGGGTAGAATAATCTAGGTATCAGGAAGATGGGTTGTACAATCATCACTCCTTTTTTTCTTTTCAAGACCTTTTCTATGTGGTACTAGGGATTGAATTCACATCTGGTGCTTGCAAAACAAGCACTATATATTTGAGCTTATACTCTTACCACAGACATTTTCAAGACTTCCTTTTTTGAGGGGGAGGGGAGAGATCAGTAATAGAGTTTGAACTCAGGGCCTTATGCTTGCTTGACTAGTACTCTACCACTTGTGCAATGACTCCAGCTCAGGTTTTTGCTGGTTATTTTGGAGATGGGAATCTCATAAACTTTTCTGTGCTGGCTGGCTTCAAACCTCAGCCTTCTGAGTAGCTAGAATTACAGACATGAGCTACAGATGCCTGACTTAAGACTTCTTGATGTTCTTTTTTTTTTTTTTTTTTTCAGTTGTGGGGCTTGAACTCTGGGCCTAGGCACTGTCCCTCAGCTCTTCAGCTCAAGGTTAGCACTCTACCTCTTGAGCCACAATGCCTCTTCCAATTTTCTGGTGATTAATTGGAGATAAGAGTCTCAGGTTTTCCTGCCTGGGCTGGCTCTGAACTGCGATTCTCAGATCTCAGCCTCCACAGTAGCTAGGATTACAGGTGTGAACGACGGGCATTTGATGCTCATCTTAATTTGCTCTCTTGGGGGTGTGGAATTGCCTAGCTATGAGATATGTTCTTTGGCTCAGGCTTTTTGTTCTCTTCCCAAGATTTGTACCATATCCTTCTTTTACCTCAGCTATGTTATTAATATTAATACATTTTAAATACTTTTCCCTCCTCAATAGTACCTTTATGAATATGTACACAGATAGCTCTAGCAATCCTTTTCTAATTTTCAGGATATTGCCTTTTCTATATTGCCTGTTATTATGACACTATAGTCAAAACTAATATTGTTTCATAAACGTTGTATTCGTTGTATTCATCAGACATACAATGTTTGTTATCCTGTCCCGTGTTCTTTGTCCCACTGATTTTGTTGTTTCTTCCCTCATTCCTTCCTCCTTTCTTCTTTTTTATTATAATTACTTATTTAGTGCAGTATTTGGAATTGAACTGTTTCTCACACTATCAGATAAATGATTTACCAACTGAGGCTCTCTGTTGTTGTTATTATGTTATTGTTGTTGTCAGTCATAGGGCTTGAACTTGGGTCCTAGGCCCTGTTTCTGAGCTCTTTTTATTTTATATTATTTTTTTGGGGGGGGGGTCCAGTCATGGGGCCTGAACTCTGGGCCTGGGCGCTGTCCCTCAGCTCAAGGCTCAAGGCTAGCACTCTACCACTTGAGCCACAGCGCCACTTACAGCTTTTTTCTTTTTGCTTATGTGGTGCTGAGGAATCAAACCCAGGGCCTCAGGCATGCAAGGCAAGCGCTCTACCACTGAGCCACCTTCCCAGCCCGTTTCTGAGCTCTTTTGCTCAAGGTTAGCACTCTACAGTTTTGAGCTACAGCTCCACTTCTGATTATCTGGTGATTAATTGGAGATAAGAATCTCACTGGGAATGTCCAAGCTGGATTTGAACCATGATCCTTAGATCTCAGCCTCCTGAGAAGCAGAATTACAGATGTGAACCACCAGTCCACAGCTCTGTCATTCTTTTTTTTTTTTTTGCCAGTCCTTGGACTTGAACTCAGAACCTAGGCACTGTCCCTGAGCTTCTTTTGCTTAAGGCTAGCACTCTATCACTTAAGCCACATCACCATTTCTGGCTTTTTCTGCATGTGGTACTGAAGAATTGAACCCAGGGCTTCATGAATGCTTATCAAGCACTATACTACTAAGCCACATCCCAGCCCCTGTTATTCTTTTTATAATCCTTTTCTTCCATATTTCTCTGGGCATCAATATTATTACTGTCTGGAGAACTGTCTAATTCTAGTTCTAGAAACCTGGTTGCAACTGTTACAAGGGAGGCATGGAGGGAGGAGGGATGAAGGGAGGAAGATAGATTGGTTTTATTTCAGCTTATAGGTTTTTTTTGGCTCATGGCTAGTTCAGAATGGTGGGGGATGGATAATCCCCTTCAAGAGCATATATCAGTGACCTAAAGAACTGCAAGATACCACCTCCTACAGGCCTGGGGAACAGGAATTTTTAATATATGGACTCTTGGGGACCACAGTAGATTTTAGTAGGTCCTTCTGCATGCCATAAACTCAGTGTCAAACCGCTGCATACACACACAAGACAATGTCTTTACTTCAGCTAATCTGGTACTTCTTTTCTTTTAGTGACCGTGTTTTTAAATATCCAACTCATGTTGTTAGAAATAAAAAGCAGCATTCGCCAGTAACAGGTATGATTTTTAAATGTTTCATCTTTGTTTTCCAAGAACAGATGACTGATACAATTAAAAATGTACAGTGGCTAGGTGCCAGTGGCTCATACCTATAATCCTAGCTACTCAGGAGGCTGAGATCTGGAGATTATGGGTCAAGGCCATTAGGGCAGGAAAGTCCATGAGATCCTTATCTCCAATAAACTGCCAAACAAGGTGGAAATAGAGCTGTGGCTCAAGTGGTAGAGCATTAGCCTTGAGCAAAAGAAATTCAGGGACAGTACCCGGGCCCTGAGTTCCACACCCAGGACTAGCCCACACACATAAAAAAAAAAAATGGACATTGGTATATCATCCTGTAAAGTGTAAGTCATATTTAATTCTCATTTTGGTGTAAATGCTTCACTCACCTTTCACTGATAACCAGAATATTTTTGTTTATCCACTAGGATGATTGAATGTATAATACTGAATTAAAACTCATGAAAGTACTGAGATTTCAGAAATCTTGTGAATGTCAAGGGCCTTTTTATTAATCAAAAGTCTTGCATTTTACAATTTTTTCAGATCCATTTACATTATGCTCAGACATAATAAATAAAGAAGTTCTCAGTTTTCAAGCAGCTGACAGTTGTACCAAAATATTGAAGTATAGGTGCTCAGGTAAATATTTTTAGTACAATTATTTTATAATTAAAATTTTAAGGGCTGGGGGTGTGGCTCAAGGAGTGCTTGCCTAACAAGCATCAGGCCCTTAGTTTAAACTCTAGGACCATCAAAGAAACAAACATAATTAAAGCTTTTTATATTAGTTAACTAGATTTTATAATAGCTCTACTTTTATAAATTAAGTTTCATTTCCTTTGAAGAAATTAGAATGTAGAGCATGAAATCGTTCAAATTAATATTCCTTTTCTGTACCAGGCTGAGATCCAGTGTTTGTTTATACTCACCACTTCAATTTTTTACTCTTGTCTTTTGTCACAACTCATCGTCTACAAATTTAATTTTATTGAGATAAACATTTTATGTGTTGCAGAGAAAAGAGACAGGTGTATATTCTGGATTATGCTCTAAATATTATAGATATTATATAATACCTATTTTATATTTATATTGACATATTAATGTTCTAGTGTCCTGTTACCTTTTTTTTTCTGTAATCCAGTAATTATTCCATAGTTTCTGTTCCTTCACACCTTAGTATTTCCTCTTTGTTCATGCTTACTACTGCACTCTGCTCTATGGAAAAAATTCAGGTATTCTATGTTTAGTTCAAATGTCATTTTTTTTATATTGGATGAAGAGATTTCTTCTATTATTCTAAAGTTAATGTCAAGTCATAATCTAAATCATATCTTGTCTTTCAATTTAATAATTACAAAAGCTTATTTTTATCTACTAATTCCTTTTGTTTCAACTTAAACTATGTTCATATTTCCTCATTTAAAAAAATGAATGATCGGGACTGGATGTGTGGCTCCAACAGTGGAGTGCTCATTGGACTTAATTGAAAAAGCCAAGTGAGAACCTGAGGCCCTAAGTTCAAGTCCCATACTGGGAAAAACTGCTTCGTGATTTGCTATTGAATCAAGGATTCTTACACTCTCCTTTCTACCTTTTACTACCAGATTCCTGTCTTGTTCCTTCTTTTTCAATGCATTCATTCCCTTCTTAACTCCTGGAAACCTGGTGCTTTTTTTCCCATTCTCTAAATTTTTAATATTAAAGGATACTTGAAGCTTCTTTTTTGGTGCTGTGGCTCAAGTGGTAGAGTGCTAGCCTTGATCACAAAGAGGCTCAGGAATAGTGCCCAGGTCCTGCATTCACAACCGACAGAGGGGAGGGGGTAGAGAAGGAAGAGAGAGAGAGGAAGGAAGGGAAGAAGGGAGGGAGGGAGGGAAGAAGGAAGGAAGGAAAAAAGAAAGGAAGAAAGAAAGAAAGAAAGATCCAGTCAGGTGTGGTGGTAAATGCCTGTAGTCTACCTTTGTGGGAATAAAGTTAGGATCAGGAGTTCCAGACCAGTCACAGAGCCTAACGGGCCACATGCATTTGAGCCGACTTAGGCTACAGTAGGAGATCCTGTCTAAACAAAATAAAACGAGCTGGGTTCTGGTGGTTCATATTTGTAATCCTAGCTCAGGATACTGAGATCTGAGGATTGCAGTTTGAAGCCAGGTTGGGCAGGAAAGTCTGTGAGATTCTTATCTCCAATTAACTACCAAAAAGCTAGAAGTAAAGCTGTGGCTCAAATGGTTAGAATGCTAGCCTTGATGGAAAAAAAGAAAGAAAGAAAAAAAAAAAGCTCAGGGACAGTACTCAAGACCATCACCAATATATCAACACTGTGTATGTGTGTCTCAAACAATCAAAAGAGAGAGAGAGAGAGAGAGAGAACAGAATGAGGGAGAGAAGACAGACATTATCTGCCTCTTAATACAATATAGTGAGAAGCACACAATGCTATCTACCTATGGGGAATCCTGCAGAAAAATCATTAAGCTTGAATATGATATATCATCTAGATATGATTACCACCAAAAAGCCAGAAGTGGAGCTGTGGCTCAAGTGATTTAGTGCTAGCTCAGGGACAGTGCCCAGACCCTGAGTTCAAGCCCCATGACCAACAAACAAAACAAGAACTGAACTTACATATAGATCACTTCTTTTCAATATTTTCCCTTAATAGAACTAGACCAACTTTACCTCTTTTTCTTTTTTCTAGTGGTACTGAGGTTAAACTCAATGCCCCTATGTTTACTAGTTAAATGCTCTACCACTGATCTGTACCCTTGAGCTCTCTTTCCTTTTCCCTTTCCTTTTGTTGTATTGGGGATTGAACCCAGGAACTTTCTTTTTTTTTTTTTTCCGGTCATGGGGCCTGAACTCTGGGCCTGGGCACTGTCCCTCAGCTCTTCAGCTCAAGGCTAGCGCTCTACCACTTGAGCCACAGCACCACTTCCGGCTTTTTTCTTTTTGCTTATGTGGTGCTGAGGAATCGAACCCAGGGCCTCGAGCATGCAAGGCAAGCGCTCTACCACTGAGCCACCTTCCAGCCCTGAACCCGGGAACTTTCAATGTGTTAGGAAAACACATTGGAATATACTTCATACCTTTTTTATTTTATTTTATTTTTTTGGATCTGGTTGTGGGGCCTGAACTCTGGGGCTGGGCGCCGTCCCTCAGCTCTTCAGCTCAAGGCTAGCGCTCTACCACTTGAGCCACAGCGCCACGTCCAGCTTTTTTCTTTATGTGGTGCTGAGGAATCGAACCCAAGGCCTCATTGCATGCAAGGCAAGCGCTCTACCACTGAGCCACCTTCCCAGCCCCCTTTTTAATTTTTTAAAATGTATTTAGGGCTGGGATGTAGCTCAGTGGCAAAGCACTTGCCTATCAAGTGCAATGTCCTGGGTTCAATCCCCAGTACTAAAGAAGAAAAGACAAAAACAGTAGTTAAATCAAATAATTTATTACTATTATGAAAGAGTGAATGTGTGTATGTGTGTAGGCATGCCAGTACTGAAGCTTGAACTCAAGGCCTTGCCTTCTTGCTTGCTTTTTCTCTCAAAGCTGGCATCCTACTATTTGAGCCACATCTGTACTTCTGGCTTTTTGCTAGTTAATTGGAGATGAATATCTCATAGACTTTTCTGCCTAAACTGTCTTCAAACCAGGATCCTCAGATCTTAGCCTTCTGAGTCATTAGGATTTTATGTATGCACCAATAGCACCTGCCTTTTAAAAAATAAATTACTTTATTGTAAAGATGCTGTACAGAGAGGTTACAGTTACATGAGTAAGGTAATGAGTACATTTCTTGTCAAACATTGTTACCCCTCCTTCGTTTTTTTCCTACTATCCCTTCCCTCTGTCACCTTCCCCCTCTTCCCCCCCCCAAGTTGTAAAGTTCATTGCCAACATAGTTTCTCGTGAGTATCATTGTTGCAATGGGTCATCCTGTGTCCTTGTCTCATTTGTATCCTAGACTTCCTGACTCCCTTGTGCTTGGATTACAGATGTGTACCACCAAACTCAGCTAATTTTATTTTTGAGATGATGTTTGGCTAAATTGCCCAGGCTGACCTTGCATTTACTATCCTACTGCTGCAGCTGCCTGGGTAGTTGAGATTACAGACGTGTACCACCAAACCTGGTTTGGTTGCTCTTTTTCTATGTTGCTATAACTGTTCATACTTCTATCCCAACACTTATTTCACTGATATGCATGTATGTTTTTATTTTGTCATGTTTTGGGTTTTTTAAGATTTTTTATTAGCATACATAGATTTCTTAAAGTATTTATAAGTTTCTGATTTTACTTAAGTTACCATCATATAGATAACTGCTTTCATAGATTTATAAGTGCATTATTGACATCTATACATCACATTATTTTGTTTTCTTTTAGGTTGCATATCAGTAGGAAAACCTCTAAATAGTCGAAATTTTAGCAAGCTCTTGCGTGCTTGTCCATACCAATGTGATCGACACAAAGTCATTGTGGAAGCTGAAGACAGATATAAAAGTGAACTAAGGAAATCATTTATCTGTAACAAAAGTAATTAATTCCATAGCTTTAAGACTGTAATTACAATTATGCCTTCTAAGCCATCATTAAGATATTAAGTATATTTAAAAATTTAAGGATAAAATAATGTTGAAAAGAAAACATTTTGCTAGGCGTCAGTGGCTCACGCCTGTAATCCTAGCCACTCAGGAGCCTGCAATCTGAGGATTATGGTTCAAAGCCAGCCTAGGCAGGAAAGTCCATGAGACTCTTAACCTCCTATAAACCACTTAGAAAACTGGAAGTGGCATTGTGGCTCAAGAGGTAGAGTGCTAGGCTTGAGCTAAAGAGCTGAGAGACAGTGCCCAGGCCCAGAGTTCAAGCCCCATGACCATAAAGAAAAAAAGAAAGAAAGAAAAGAAAACATTTCTTAGCAACTGGTAATTTATGATGTACCTGGGAGAAGATTAGAAGATTTAGTTTCTGATGGCTTAAAATTTCTTCTCAATCTAATTATTCCTACTAGAAGGGTTGGGGAGAGGAAATAACCATACTAATAGAATTCATATACTTATGAGTTCTTCAGATTGGTACTCTAATTCTGCTAAATGTATTCCATATTTTTCAGAAATTCTGCTGACCCCATGTAGAAGACAACAACTCAGTAGCAAATCTGCTATCCCTGGAAAAATAAATGAACATATTTAATTTTTAAGTCAGCTTAAATATCACAGACTTCTAAAAAAGATGTACTTGTTTTTAGTTCTCACCATCAATAGCTCTTTCTGTGATAACCCTTGGCTCTAATGAAGATTATATTTCCTAAGAAAAGAGGCATCTCCCATTTGTTTGTTCACTTGCTGTCTGCCATCTGGAAAGCAGCAGGAGGAAAACTACCTTTATTAAGTACCTACTATGTGTTAGGTGTCTTATAAAAGTTGTTGCCTCTAATTCTTATAAGTTAGAAATAGCATAACTTAGATTCATTACAAGCTTTTTCTAGAAACCCTCATTGTATTGTCTGGATCAATTCATATTTTCAGAACAAATTTTCCATGTACAAGTACTCCAGAGAGACTTTTGATCATAACTCCAATGTGTCAAACAGTCAAAATTGAAGCAAAAAAGTGCTTCTTAAATAACTTATTGAAATTTTAATTTAACTGTAGGGTTAAGACTTCAGGCTTATCACCATTCCAGATTTATCAGAGAGTTTGAGAACCTTAACATTTTCTTCTAATCATCTGAAGTTAATACTAACTACAGGAGTAGGAATAAACAATTGAGTACATTACTTGTCAGAGTCATCAGAAATGAGTAACATCAAATGGGAGAAAATGAAGGAGGAGGTAACATTTAGAAAACAAATGTTCTCATTACCTTACTTATGTAACTATAACCCCTCTGTACATCACCTTTACAATAAAAATAAATGAATACCATCAGTAGAGCTACTCTGATATTTATCACAGAGCTATTTGAACTGAATTCATCCAGGAAACATTTTGCTTCACATGACACTTCTATGGCTATTTTCACTGCCAAAACCTTGAAAGGAACTTCAGACTTAAGTCTTTTTTCTAGGTTAAAAATTCTATCTATAAAGTAAGTACAGTATCACTGTGGAAGAGCTTGTTTTTTTTAAGGTGGTATTGGGGTTTGAACTCAATACCTTGTACTTTCTCAGCAGGCACTCTACCACCTGAGCCATACTTCTAGCTCTGTCAGTTTTTTGGTGGTAATGGGGGTCAGTTGTGGGGCTTGAACTCTGCACCTGGGTACTGTCCCTCATCTTTTCAGGTCAAGGCTAGCACTCTACGAACTTGAGCCACAACACCACTTCCTGTTTTCTGGTAGTTAACTGTACATGAGAGTCTCATCCACTCCTGGGCTGGTTTTAAACCATGATCCTCAGATCTCAGCCTCCTGAGTAGCTAGGCTTACAGCTGTGAGCCACCAGCACCTAGCTAAACCCTGCCCTTCTTTTGCTGGTTATTTTGGACACAGAATCTCATCTTTTTCTGCTTAGACTGGCTTTTAACCACAATCCTCAAGCTCCTAGCCTCTTGAGTGAGTGGTTAGGATTACAGGCAAGAGCCTGTTTTTGTTTTTGTTTTTTTTAATTTGCCAAGCTCAGAGACACAAATGGTACATATTTCATATGCAAAAACTAGATCTAAAATACACTAGGATATGATAAATTATGCAGGACTATAGGCATTCACACAGTTAGACCAGAGAAGGATACTTTTAGGAGAGAGACACAAAGGCACAATACCTGTGTGCTTCTAATCATATAATAATTCTTGAAGTGAACTGCAGGAAATGGAAACAAGATTTTTTTTCTGTAGAAAACCTGGGTATTTTGTTCCACAGAGATATGTTGTACTTAGAAATTGGTTTCTTGCTACTCAGGAGGCTGAGATCTGAGGATCACAATTCAAAGCCAGTCCAGGCAGGAAAGTCTGTGAGACTCTTACTCCAATAAACCACCAGAAAACCAGAAGTGGTGCTATGGCTCAAGTGGTAGAGTGCTAGCCTTGAGCTGAAGAGCTGAGGGACAGCATCAAGCCTGTGTTCAAGCCCCATGACTGATAGAAAGAAAAAAAAAAAGAAAAAGAAAGAAGCAAAGAAAGAAAGAAGAAAGAAAAGAGGTTGTGTTCTTCACAGGACTTGACACCAAATTACAGAAATTTTAAACATGGGCTGGGAAGGTGGCTCAGTGGTAGAGCGCTTGCCTTGCATGCATGAGGCCCTGGGTTCGATTCCTCAGCACCACATAAGCAGAAAAAAAAAAAGCTGGAAGTGGCACTGTGGCTCAAGTGGTAGAGCACTAGCCTTGAGCTGAAGAGCTGAGGGACAGCGCCCAGGCCCAGAGTTCAGGCCCCACGACCAGACCAAAAAAACAACAACGAAAAAAAAAAGAAATTTTCAACATGTCTTCAAAACAAAGATGTAACAACTAAAAATATTCTATAATCCCTTTACTTAGATAAAACCATCTCTAGAACCTCACGAACGGGCATAATTTTGTTATACGTTAATTATACAGTGATCCTAAATACTGTTAACTGATACTTAGCTCATATAGAACCATCCACTAATAATTGGACCTGCTTTTTTAGAATTTACGAGGCATCCTGAGAACGTATTAATTTGGTTTGTCTTATGTATTTCAAAGCAAGACAGTTTGGCATTTTGCCTTCTCATTTCCTCATTTGGGTAAATTTCCCCCTTTTTTTAATTTTTTTTAAAATTTCCCCTTTTTATCAGGACATTTCACTACTCTTCATTAAAGTATAGTTTGCACTGAAATTTACCCCTATTATTTTTTAGGACAGACCACTATACTGTGGAAGCATTAAACATTTTCCCAAGGCCTTCTTTAAGGATGATTCGTTATCTTGAGAGGGTCTGAAAAGTAAGAGTTTCGGGAAGTAAGCCCTCTTGCCAGTTTTTTCTTGCTCCCCTAACACAAAGTCAATATTATAAGGAATACTAATGAAGCTGGAGAGGGGCGTCTTGAAGTACAGAGCCGTTTGCTTCCACCTGGCTGCCTAGTTATTCAGTATAGAAACCTTTGAGAGTTTACTAGGAGTCAGGGAGGTGGCAGCCTCAATAGAAGAGGGTCCTCTTTTATCCCAAAAGTTATCACTTAGGGTTGGAAAGGTGGCTCAGTGGTAGAGTACTTGCTTTGCATGTATGAGGCCCTGGGTTTGATTCCTTAGCACCACATAAGCGGAAAAAGCCAGGAGTGGCACTGTGGCTCAAGTGGTAGAGTGCTCACCTTCAGCTGAAGAGCTCAGGGACAGTGCGTGGGCCCAGAGTTCAGGCCCCACAACTGACAAAAAAAAAGTATCACTTAATAGCCCGGATTACAAGGAGTTAAAATCATTTAGCAAGAGAAGCTAAAAACTATTTCTTGGATAAGTAAAATGTGAATATTCCTCTATGTAATCTCTCCAAAGGAGGGAATAATTTCTTTGATAAATTTTGAGATAGTTTTATTAATAGTTTTTTTCTCTTAGCATTTAATGATCATCTACTATGTCTCAAATACTATTCTAGCCATTTGGGATGCAGTGGTGAACAGACTTGTACAAAAGTTCCTGCTCTCATGAAGCCTGCATTATAACTAATGCAATTAATAATAAGACATTAGTTACACTGCTTTCTTAGCCTGGTAAGTTCAGCTGAGAAGATTTTCTAAGGATGATCCTTAGAAAAGAGTAGCCTCATCTACCTACAATGATTCCATGAGTAAACAATGAATAAAAAAAAGCTTAAAAATATCTCCTCCAACAGAGAAACCTATTTTTCTAGTAAAGATGAGAGGAAAAGAATTATTTACCATCCATGTATTCTTTGTACACTAGAAATTGTCCCTTAAAAGCAGGTAATAAAAAACTTCATTAAGCCGGGCGCCAGTGGCTCTCGCCTGTAATCCTGGCTACTCAGGAAGCTGAGATCTGAGGATCATGGTTCAAAGCCAGCCCAGGCAGGAAAGTCCATGAGACCCTTATCTCCAATAAACTACTAGAAAACTGGACGTGGCACTGTGACTCAAGCAGTAGAGCGCCCCTCTTGAGCTGAAGAGCACAAGGACAGCGCCTAAGCCCAGACTCAAGCCCCATGACAAAACAAAAAACAAAAAAAACTTCATTAACCATCATACAACCATTTTTTTTTAGTTTTGAACAAGCTGAACACCCATATAGGAAATGAATGTGTTTTTAAAAGCAAATTTCAAAAGATCCTTGTTCTTAAAAATGTTAACCAAACCTATATTTAAAGTACCAAGTATTGGTATTCTTTTTCTGTCAAGTATGGAGCCCTTTGGGAAGACTGTATCTTTAAGATAGGTAAGCTGTTTGTTCATCATCCCCACAGGAACGTTACATTTATCAACTTGTTTCTTGATTTAAAGATGTTCAGGTATTAGTATAATAGATTAAATTACACCTTAAACAACAACAAAAAAATCCGTCATGGGGCTTGAACCCAAGGCCTGAGTGCTGTCCCTGAGCAGCTGTTTGCTCAAAGCTAGCACTCTACCACTTTGGGCTATCTTTCCACTTCTGGGTTTTGAGTGGTTAATTGGAAATGAGTCTCATGGGGACTTTTCTGCCTGAGCTGGCTTTAAGCCATGATCCTCAGATCTCAGCCTCCTGAGTGAGCCATTGGTGCCCAGCTATAAATTACAACTATTGAATAAGCCATTAGCAGTAGCACCTAACTTACTAGTAGGTACTCAGGTTTATTTTTCATTGAAATAGATTTGACTATAATATATGTACTAGACACAAAAATTTCTCTAGTTTCTATGTGTAGAATAAGTTTTGTAGTTATTTAGGCCTCAAAAAGACTATTTTCAACAAATACTAATGCATTGTATAATTCTCTCGTTAATTACAGAAAAAAGAAGAATTCGTAAGAACTTTACCGAAGAAGAAGTAAATTACCTTTTCCATGGAGTTAAGAAAATGGGAAATCATTGGAATTCAATTTTGTGGTCTTTCCCCTTTCAGAAGGGACGGACAGCTGTGGATCTTGCTCACAAATACCACAACCTGATCAAACACATCAAGTGTATAGCCAAGACTTGATTTTTAGTTTGAACTAGAAATACAGAACCTTAAAAGATAGAAAATATTCTTCTAAGCCCTCATGTGACAAGAAGTCTTAGAAATAGGGTTTTTGTTATTATTGTATTGTTTTGGTTTTTGCTTTTCTTTTGAGACAGTCTCTCACCTCAGTAACTCAGGCTGGCCCAGAACTCACTACAAAACTCAGGCTGGCCTCTACCACATGATCTCAGGCTTTCAGAGATAGTTTTTTGGTTTTTTGCTGTTGTTGTTTTTGCCAGTCCTGGGGCTTGAACTCAGGGCCTGAGCTGGTTTTGCTCAAGGCTAGCATTCTGCCACTTGAGCCACAGCTCCACTTCTGGCTTTTTCTGCTTATGTGGTACTGAAGAATTGAACCTAGGGTTTCATGAATGCTAGGCAAGCATTCTACCACTAAACCACCTTCCAAGCCCAGAGATAGTCTTAAACAATTTTTGTGGTACTGCAACTCTCCAAATTATTACAATAACTTATTATAACACTATTTTTTTGTTGTTGCCAGTCCTGGCTTGAACTCAGGACCTGAGCACTGCCCCTGAGCTGTTTTGCATAAGGCTAGTGCTCTGCCACTTGAGCCATAGCTCCACTTCTGGTTATTTTAGTAGTAAATTGGACATGAAAGTCTCATGGACTTTCCTGCCCAGACTGGCTTTGAACTGTGGTTCTCATATTTCAATCTCTTGAATAGCTAGCAGCAAATATTTTTATGTACAAGTTATATAAAATTTCTCTATAAGGTAAATATTTAGGAATATTCTATTATTCTTAGGTTTAAAG